TTTAGATAACTAGATTAAATAAATAGAGCTGCTATTGTTAATAAATAATGGAGAATGTGTTTGTCAGAGACTTCCTCCATGAATGAATYTCTAAGCTGAGGAAAAACAACACCATGGTAATGTCCAATGCATAATCAGCCTGTAGCAATAGATGTGAAACATCTCATTAAAAACGCTTTTTTTTAAATAATGTATTTTGCACATGCCTTTCATTTTTCATTTTCTGTTTTTTTTAATGCTCTGAGGCYCAGAATGTAATTTTGACAGTATTATGACACACCACTGTAGTTAATGGATGGGAGGTATTTGGCCTAGCCATTGAGAATCAATCAATAACTGCTTTTTGTGTCAGAGATGCTATAATCAATGTGTTGTATCACTGRAAGGTTATTTACTAGCACAACTATAAACATTGTTTTTCTGCAAAATTTAAATGCCGAAGCGATGCTCCTGGACAAATTGGTGCTGAGATTTGTGTGATGAACAAAAAAAGATGAGCGTTCCTGCATCTGGCTGCACCCCACATAAACAACGCTGCATTCATCCAACACAAGTACACTAATCTGCTCCTGTAGCTTTTTGGTCTATAAATAACACGCCTCTGTCTGCACATGACATTCTGTGGTAGCACCACAATAAGTAAGCGACTAACCGTGAAAGAGCTACTTGATCTAATTTTGGATCCGGGCCTTGATGATGAGGAGGAAAATATCGAACTTGAAGAACAAGCGCTGCGAGCTTTGAGCTGCAGGAATGAAACCTGCTGAAAAGCTGAATATGATCCAGACTCTTGGTGCRCAGGTGATGCAGAGGAGCAAGTTTGATGCCTCACTTACAGAGACTTTTTGTAAACACAGTTCAGAGCAGAGGACACTTTTTGTACAAGATGATACAATTTTGATATATTGTGCAGCTGCCATACCAACTAGCACAAAAAGTAAGGAAATTTGTGATTGGTAGGTTATTTCTTTGTTATAACAATGGCTTCTCTGCAATAACTTTTATACTGTAGAAAAGCCTGTTAATTTCCCTTTTAAATGGTGCCACATTTGTAAGGAACATGCATTTGTGGGATGATATAGCTGAGTATGTGGGTTGCACACATGAAAATAAACTTACCAAATTGTCTCAGCCAAACAGCTTATTTTGCTGCTATTGACACTTGCTTTGAGCTTCTGGCATATCCCCCAGGTGCTGCCAATCATGTGCATGTTCCTTACAAATGTGACGCCAGTCAAAGGGAAATTAACAGGCTTTTCTACAGTAGAAAGCTGCCGGACCCGAAACTGTGAAGCTAGACTGACATCAGTTCTGAGTTCCAGCTTGTCAGAACATAAAAAAAATAAAGTCTTTCTATTTCTTGCTCTAACGGAGCAATGCAACAATAGCACTTACAACAACAACGCTCTATACACTGCATTTTACAAACAGTTGTTTACATTAAGTCAGTCGTGCTTTTAGTACCTTACAATGATTACTGGGTGATAATCATTATAAATTACTACAAGTAATGTGAAGTAAATGACACAACTGTCTGTTGATGTAGGAGCAGCCATGTTGAAATGATGACGTCACGTGTGGTCTGTTATGTTGGTGTTGCACAGATCTCTGGACTGGAAATGACAACATTAGGGGGCGTTCCAGTTTATATTTCCACCTTGGAAGTCCAAAATTCTAGCCTGGTTTAAACCAGATCCTTGTCCTTCACTTTGCTTCGTACGAGGGTCTGGACTTGCTGCATAGAGAATTGATTTCTTGCAGGAGGCGTGGCCTCTGCTGAAGTTTAAAATGATTGGATCAGTTGGCTGCTATGTATGTCGCTGTGACGGAGGCTAAGCTAAGAAGCTAACCGGAAATTGCGTGTGCTGTAAACAACCCTACTGAGAGGAGAAAAGTACCGAGACGACTGTAAATGAGAGCTGCTGCTTTGTCAGACAAATTTAATTTAATTTGGAAGCCTTTTCAACACAGACTGGCTTCATTCACTTCCTCCACTGCCGTATGCTAAACTAACTAGCAGACACTGCGCAGAACATCGACGTCGTTCAAAACTCCACCTTCTGTTTGCTGATTGGCCCAGGTAAAATAAACTACAAGCAGACACTGCGCAGAAAATTGACGTTCTGTTCTCTGATTGGCCCAGGTAAAATAAACTACAAGCAGACACTGCACAGAAAATTGACGTTCTGTTCTCTGATTGGCCCGGCTAAAAATCTGCCAGTGAAATCCATCTAAATGGGTAAAGTCCCAGACGGAGCAGTGAAGGGAAACTAGAATMGAGCGGAGCTGCGTAGGAACGCAAGGGCCAGGCTAGCAAAATTCTGACCTCAGAGTACAACTGGAATATATGCAGCAAGGGATTTATTGCAGCATTGTTACAACAAATAAACAATTTGCCAAATGCAAATTTTCTTACTTTTTGGGCTAAGCAGTGGTGGGCAGTACTGATCTAAATATTAGTTGCACTAACCCTAAAGCCTTAGCTCAAATATTTAGGTCCCCTAATTCTAAAGCACTAACACACTGAAAAATTTATCAAAAGCTAATTCTAAAGCACTAATTTAATCTTTTTGACACATGAAACATTCTTCAGAGTCAACATGAGACAATATTTACTGTGTGCAGAATGTTGTCACTTAGTGCCCTTGGRGGGCCAAATAGGAGTCACCCACAGGCCACATTTGGCCTGCGGGCCTTGAGTTTGACACATGAGATAAGTGAAACAAATATGAACAAAATGTGTGACAGCTTTCACCCTCAACTGTGAACAATAATGTTAATAAATAATATTTATAGACCTCAGTTAGTGCTTCTAAATTTAGCACATAAATTTAGCAAGTGTTAATCCACTAATGTATTTTAAAAATAGCAAAAGCCCTAAAGATTCAAGATTCAAGTACTTTAATTGTCAATGCTTCATATGTGCAAAACATACAGAAAATTGAAATTGCGTTACTCTCTTTCCCAGTTACAACATTAAACAAGAAATCAACAGAAATTTCACAATCCAATAACACTGTAAATAAACAGAAAAGTGACAATAAATGTGTAACACAATATGGACACAGATACAGATGAATTTGTGACATCAACACAAAAACTAGCAGGAAATGGAGGGGACCTCAGTAGTGCAAAAATAAAGATCTTTATACAAGAAAAAGTTGAATATTGCAATTATAGTGGAATAGAAGCTTAATGGTAGAAGTAAAGCGAAGGATGCATGTGAGGGTAACAAGTTAAAGCACTAAAGTTAATTCAATTCAAATTCAATTCAAAAATACTTTATTGATCCCAGAGGGAAATTAGGTGTTTTTGTAACTCATTTAAGTAAAAACT